AAAAAAAAAAAAAACACAAAACAAACTCACTGCCATCAAGTCATTCCCAACTCATAGCAACCCCTCCTTGGGTTTCCGAGGCAGTATTACTATGGAAGAAGATTGCCCAGTCTTCCTTCTAAGGACTGGCTGGTGGGTTTGAACTGCCAGCCTTCTGGTTAGCAGTCAAAATGCCTTGGGCATTACGCCACCAGAGTTCCCTTAGTTATTAATAACAAATCAAAATATTGGTTCACCAATTGTAATAAATATGCCACAGGAATGCAAGATGTTAATAAAACAAGAAACACTGCAGGTGGTAGGGAAGTATATGAGAACTCTACAGTTTTTGAACAATTTTTCTGTATACCTAAAACTAAAAAAGATCTGTTAGAAAAAACATCAGAAAATTTATTGAAAACCATTCTGATAACTTGACTTACTTATCTCCAGACCACAAAAACCCATAATAGGTACTATCCTCACACCACAGGTGAGGAATACGAGGCTCAGTGAAGTTTATTGGGTTGCTAAGGCCACACGGGTAGAAAGCAGGGGAACTGAGAAGCAAATCTAGGCCTATTTGGCTCCATATCCCTTTCTACTTAAACTCTTTGGGACCTTTTCCACACGTTTACACTGTATTTTCTCCTTTCTTCTGCACATATCATATATATGGCTCCATTTCTCCAATTGAACCAAGTCTCCACATCTCTTTGATGCTATTCCCTCCTCATCCTTCTCTTGTTCTTACATTTTCTAAGATTGCCAAATCTTATCAGTAAGGTTCAAGTGCCTTGACTTAACAGAGCCTCTCCGTGGATACTTGGAAGAAGTATGGCTCCCTGAACAAAACTAACAGCCTTGTCATCAGAGGTGGTGGTAAGCAACTATGTCATTCACCCTTTCCTAAAAAAGGATTGAAAGGGAGGAAAGAAGAAGGAAAAACGCAGTGTGGCCTCTGCTGGAAATGTTCCAGATTTAATTTTGGGGGTCCTGAGAATGACATTGGATTTCTTGTTTTGCTTCTGACTCAGGATGTACATTATTCTTCTATATCTAGATGCTTTTCCCTGGTATATCGCAGGGATCCTTCATAGTCAATATGTGGTGGTGCTGATTATGAAAAAATGTTGAAAGGAGCACAGCTCAACCCAAATGACATTGAAAGAATAACTAAAAGGAATTCCTGACTCTAATAAAACTGGGTTCTAAGAAATCAAATAAATGTATTCTTGATTCTTCCAAGTCTTTTGGACTTTAAAATAACCCAAGCATCTACCAACACCCCAAAAGTGAACTGGCCTTTAGGTAGGAGAAGAGTAACAGGAAAAGAATATTATATATCCAATTCCATTATTTTTCTTAATGTCTTAGTAAGAGTCCACGTGATCTACCCCACGCCTTGCAATTCTTCCTCTAATCCCTCTCTTCTGTCCACAGTATCCAGGGGCATACAGAAAGTAGGCTTTGAATGTTCTAGCTTCTGCTGACATCCAAGCAAGATGTTTAAGCAACAAAAAATATATATACTGTAAAAGGAATCAAAAAAAAGAAAAATTTTGGCCCAATGCATAGAACAGGCTCTTAGTATTCTGAGGTCCCATTATATCTATAGGCTTTAATATTAAAAGAAATGTCATAAAACAGTAATTATTATTTTCTGATAGATGGGATATGGAAAAACCAAATTCCTAAACCCACAGAGAACCACTCCAAAGGCTGACACAAAGACTAAGGGAAGAGAGGAAGTCTGTTCACTTTAACAGGAGTGTTTAGCCATGAGTGCTACCAGGGCTCCTCAAGGAGTGAAATAGCTCATTTAATGTTTTTGCTTTGGGCTTCCCCACCCCAGGAGCTCCAGAAAATTTATTCCCCAATTCTCCACAGAACTGAATTAGAAGGAACAAATTTCCAAGTAAGGAGCCCTGTGGCACAGTGGTTAAAAGCTCTCATAGCTGCTAACTGAAAAGTCAGAGATTTGAATTCACCAGTGGCTCCACAGAAAAGAGTTGGCAGCCTGCTTCTGTAAAGATTTATAGCCTTGGAAACCCTATGAGGCAGTTCCACTCTGTCCTTGGGGTCATTATGAATCAGAACCAACCTGATGGCAATGGGCTTGATTTGGTTTCAATAATTTCCAAGTCTTTGTTCCTCTGGCCTTATTTTAGTCTCTAAACTTGAAAAACTTTTATATATATATATATAT